CAGTTGCAGTACGTTCCCCTCATCTACCTAAATCACTTAACACCCATCATACCACACCAAATACCATATTTAAAAAACTTCTCCCAACCATACTTATCTCCCCCTCAACCCACAAAAAAAAACCCATAATGCCCACCCCCCACAACAATCACCCCACCACCACACATAAACAATAATCCCTACTACACCAATATAATCTCATCTAAATTACCATCCCCCCCCCACCAACACCATCCAACAAAATACCATAATTAACCTTTTAATCCCCCCCCCACTCTAAATTCAAAACCTACCTATCAACATATTCTCTAACTCTAAACCACACCATAACTCCTACATACAAACAAAAACAACCACAATCTCACAACAAACAACCACCCCACACAACACAACACAAACCCCCACACCCCAAACACCAACAACAAAACCAAACCAAACAACCCAACCACCCCACACCAAACCAAACCCCAACACAACCCACCCACACACACACAACCCCCCCCCCCCCCCCCCCCCCCCCCCCCCCCCCCCCCCCCTAACCCCCCCCCCCACAAACCCCCCCCCCACAAACACACACACCTGACTGAAGTCACAGAAATGAACCCTGATTTCTTGTACACTGTTTATAAGGTTATTATAACATGAGTGAATTGCAGGTATATTTTAGGCATATTTGAATGTATGCTCCTTTGTTTGAGTGCTGCTAAGAGCTAAGATGCTAACTACTGTGTGCTAAAGGTTCTTAGTGTGCTATTCTCGTTTACATAATGCGTTAAGTTACGTTGCTCATTCTAATCTAGATTTTCTCTGTTATTTGCAGGACCACACACACACACACACACCATAAATACATTGCCACAAAGTGTGTAATGAAGAACTTTTAATAAACCAAACCTGGATCATCTCTAAGCAGTGCATTCTTACCGATGCTCCCTGGTGGTCACAATCCCACATTACAAACCAGATAAACTTGCTCTCCCCACTACATTTTGGTGCCGAAACCTGGGATAGTGGTGCCACTGTGGGACATATAAAGAGATGTATTCAGAGCAAAGCCATACTCTGCCAGAAGCAGCCATCCAAACATCAGCCCCTCCTCCTCTGTTAGCCTCCAGTACCTTTGTAAACCAGCCTCCCAGTCAGTCCCTGCTGAATAATCTACCTGCACAGGCCATCAACGTCACAATACCTGCAGAGGATGATGAGGACTGGCCCCCTCCTCCCCCTCCTGTAACAGACGAGTTCATTGAGGAAAGTCGGCCACTGCCCCCAGAGAAGTTAGTGTCTGAACTTACAGAGCTGCTGAGGGATATGAGAACATCATCACAAGAGCAGCCAAGGTACATTTCACCTCATCACCCCCCTCAAGCGCGGACACCCGAGTACTGCACTCCCTTCACTCCACCCAGATGTGAGTCAGAGGCAGAGCAGCCCAAGTCACCGGGGTCCCAAACCCACAATCCCCACATTCACTAAAGGTTACTCCCGAGAGTTTGCAAGGCTTAAAGTGGCCCTAGAAAATCTTTTGCCCGAAGACGCCACTGAATGCTTTAAGTATCAGATATTAGTAGATCACCTAAAACATGAAGATGCCCTACTCATTGCAGATTCATATATCAACTCACAGCAGCCATATACAGACACAATGAGCAGCTTAACTGAACGATATGGTCAGCCCCACCAGCTAGCGCTGAGGAAGATAGCAGATCTGATGGAGTCAGCAAACATCCCCCGTGGAGACTCTAGTGCATTCAAGCGCTTCGGATTGAGAGTAAGAGCACTGGTGGGCCTACTGGAGCAGTTGGGTGAAAGTGGACAAACAGAGCTCTGCTGTGGGTCACACGTGACTCGATTATTATCCAAGCTGCCACAAGATATGAGAGCAGAGTTCAAAAGGTTCCTGTATCCAATGCGTGTCACCATCCCCACCCTTCTGCACTTCTCTGACTGGTTAGATTACAAGCTGAAGATGCAGGAGACAGTGTATGAGTCTCTGCACAGTGAAGTTAAGAGCAGCGAACACAGAGCAGCGCGGCGTCAAGACAGTAAGGCGAACAAACCCACAAGCATTCTCCATACTGCAGACAAGCCTAGTGATACCCCCCCAGCCGAGCAGACATCCACTCCCAATAAAACAGAAGAGTGCATTGTGCCCTTATTGTGTCAATACACTGCACTACCTTGATCAGTGTGGTAACTTCACTGTGCTGACTGTGGAGCAGAAATCGGCATGGGTCAAAGCAAACAGAAGATTCTGGCGCTGTGGACGCTCACACCAGTCTGCCCAATGTCGCTTGAAGGTCGCATGCCCAAAGTGTAAAGGTGAACACCTGCAAGCTATGCATGATGTTAATGCGAGGCCCTCTGAGACCCCCTAAGCTGCACCAATGAGGTCCTCTATCTTGACAGACGCTCAGGCTGTAATCAAGTCCTCTTAAAGATAAGCCGAGTGTTACTGCGCAGTGGTGAGAACTGTATGGAGACATACGCAGTGCTGGATGATGGATCAGAGCGCGCCATTCTACTCCCAGCTGCAGCCCAGGCACTTAAACTCACTGGTGAGCCAGAAAACCTCACCCTCAGAACTGTGAGACAAGATATTAAGGTTGTGCATGGGACAAAAGTGTCATTCACCATCTCCCCTGCAGATCAGCCCCAAAAGAAATGTGTTATTAAAGGGGCATTTACTGCTGAGCCATTGAGTTTGGCCGAACACACATACTCAGTGGTTGCCTGGCCTACCAGACACTCCTCCTTTCTGTTCAAAAGAAGAACCGTCTGGACACCTCTTCCTAGCCTATCATTTCACGATTTTACCCACATCGGTCCAATCACGCACCGAGAGGCGGGACTTCCTTTCACCTTTGAGTTGCTAATAACTCCTCGTATCTTTAAGTTTTTGTTACAAAATCGACAGCAGTCGTTTACATTTGCACTAGCTGACATGCCGCCATCCCTTGTTTTGTGTTTACTGAAACGGCTTGGGTGCCGCTAGTTGCTGCGTCATATCCTGTGTGCATCTAATTGGTTGATGCAGTCTGTCAACCACGCCCACCGGGAATTCGCTGAGATCAAGCTTGTTCCCAGACTATATGTCTTTGAAAAAGCATATCGTTTGGCAGGCCAGGCAAACTCAGTGGAGGTACTTCAAAGGAAACACAGGTACCTGAGAGATCTGAGAGTCTCCCCCAATAAGCAACAGTCCATGCCCCGGCTGGAACTCTGTGCAGCACTGACCGCCGCTCAACTGGCCACACTGCTGCAACGTGAGCTGACTCTGTCTATTAACAATGTTTTCCTCTGGTCAGATTCCACTACGGTCCTTACCTGGTTACATTCGGACTCATGTCGTTTCAAAGTGTTTGTGGGGACTCGAGTGGCTGAGATCCAGGAGCTGACAGACTTGCAAAGTTGGAGATATGTGAATTCTGCACAGAACCCAGCCGATGATGTCACACGGGGAAAGACACTGCTGGAGCTTTCCAGTAATGGCAGATGGAGAGATGGCCCAGCCTTCCTGCAGCAGCCACCACAGGAACTTAGAGTGAGTCACAAAGAGCACACTTCCGATATCCTGTGAGCGTGTTTTTCACTGTTATACCTCTGCTCTGTTTGTCTGTTTGTCATTTCTCACTGCTCGGTCCAGGGTCGTGTACAGTGAATGGTATAAATAATGTATGTTACAACATTTGTCTCTTTATTCGTCTCACAACTGATTTTCTAACTCAAAAAATATATATATTAGATTCTAATATATAAATAAGTAAAAATCTTGACTATTTTATGCAAGAACCTGCTAGACCTATATTGAAATTCACACACCAAATTGTACCGCAATATATACCGTCTACCGTCTGTGAATTTTAGGCCATATCGCCCACCCCTACATCAAGCTAACTGTGTAAGCACTCTGAATCAGCTGTACTGTCGCTAAGGTTTAGGTATCGATTGTTTGTCTGGTCTCGGAGCCTGTCATACGGGACCCGGGTCCGGACTAGCCTAGCCTAGCCTAGCTGCTAACTCGCTGTCCCTATGGCTGCTGCTGTCTCTCCCTCGGTCCTGTACTGCTCGAATCACACAAAACATTGGCTTCCTGTCGCTTTTAGAATTAAGTTTAAAATGTTATTGTTAGTATTTAAATCTCTGCATGACCTGGCTCCGTCATATCTGACTGACTTGCTTACTTTGCACACTCCGGGAAGAGCACTGAGGTCCTCTGACCAGCTTCTTCTGCACTGTCCCAGGTCTAGATTAAAAACCAGAGGAGACCGAGCCTTTGCTGTGGCAGGGCCTAAACTCTGGAACGCTCTCCCTTATTCCATCAGAGCTGCCTCCTCTGTGGAGGGTTTTAAATCGCAGCTAAAGACACATTTCTTTGCTTTGGCTTTTTAACACAAGCAATGTTGCAACATTTATGATAGTGTCCTGCATTTTATTTGTATGCTGAATGTTATTTGTGTGTTGTATTTTTACAATGTCTGGTAAGCACTTTGTGACAGTCCTGTCTGTTTTTAAAATGTGCTATATAAATAAACTTGACCTTGACCTTGACCTTGAGTTGCCATATGGCGAGTCTAAACCCTGGATCCTTCTCTGAGGGTAGTGATAGATGCGTTAAGTGTAGTATAGTTGTAGCTTTGGAATCCAGGGTCGTTCCAGGTTAGCCTAAAACAGTCCTCTTTAGTTAGCATATGGCTAGGAAGGTAAGACTCAGGGAAGGCTAAACTCCTTAGACTGTCAGTCAAGCTGCATAGGGAGTCAGTTTGCTGGGAGAAGTATGGTAACTTGAGCACTATCCTCTCCTCCTTCCTACTTTATCTGTTTAGCATTATTAGGATTTTGACTGTAGTCTGTTCATTGCTATTCACCCGTTGTCCCATTGTCTGTTTCATGGTACCACGACAGGACCTCTGAGCCTCCTCCATCTACACCTGCGGACTGCCCTGCGGACTGCGCCTGGGAGTTCTTCAGTCCTGCACTGGACCTGTCCACGCTCAGCGGCCGCTGGTCCACGTTCTGTAGCTTAGGTCCTGGATCTATAGCCCGTCCGACCTTCCCACACTGCAGACCCGCTCAAAGTAGCACAAAGACCCAGCATAGCTTCGTACCGGGACCACAGTCATGGTGATAGACCCGCAGTTTCCAAGAGCCCTGTGGCCAGTGGGACTGGTCACCAACGTGCTTCCAGGACGTGATGGACGGGTGCGCGCTGCAGAAGTCCGGGTGAAGGACAAGACCGGTCGCCCGCCTAGTGACTTTGACTGCCATTCCGAGCACTTGTTCCAATACTGTTGGTCCTTCTTAAGTTGCAAATTTGTTGGGACAAATTCGGGGGCGGCTGTGACAAAGAACGGCCCTCTTTGGTATTTCTGTTGATTGACATGTGCATTAGCCAATCGCAAGTGTTTATGTTCCAGGTTTAATTGACAGCTAATTCGGGCCAATCAGAAGGTTGTATTTTCAAGGTGCATTGAGAGCACTACGTTTGCTAAAGTTTATCATTTGCAGAGTGTTTTTCAGACCTCGTGGTTATGAAAAAGTGAGTAGTGGTTGAACCCTAACCATAAATACAATGCCACGAAGTGTGTAATGAAGAACTTTTAATAAACCAAAACTGGATCATCTCTAAGCAGTGCATTCTTACCGATGCTCCCTGGTGGTCACAATCCCACATTACAAACCAGATAAACTTGCTCTCCCCACAACAATCACTGACCAGAGTTCATAGGCTAAGGCTTATCCTATGAGTTCTAACAGGATCAGGCTTTCACAGGCAGGTGGCGCCACAATAGACATATGAAAATGTACTTGAATATGCAAGTATTATAGTAGTAGTATTTTAACAATCTATTTTGGTTTTTGTGCTAACTGATGCCGATATAACCAATAACCAATATAGTGTTGACTCACAACCAAGAGATTGGCAAAATGTCTGACCATTTCATGAAATCCAGATTGAAAACTGATATAAATTCTGTTAGCTGTGGTTACTGATTTCATATACTGGCAATTAAAGACGTGATTATTTGGCAATCTCATACTGTTCTAATTACAATACAATACACAATACAATTTATTCTTGTATAGCCCTAAATCACAACAGAAGTAGTCTCAGAGGACTTAACAAAACCATTGAAATCACCAACACAGATCAGAGAGTCAACAGTTAAAACACATAAAGAATGTAGAACACATGTTCAAAAATGTCCATACATGTTGTAGAATGTTAAAGTGTCCTGGATCATCACCACATCCTTCTAGTTGGACACTAAGTGCCCAACAGACCCTCCTGCATCAGCAAGGAAAAACTCATAAGAAAACCCAGTGGGAAAAAGTGAGAAACCTCGGGGACACACATAGTTTGAGAAAGGGACGGACGGGCTATAGATCCAGGACCTACAGTAAGCTACAGAACGTGGACCAGCGGCCGTTGAACGTGGACAGGTACAGGACTGAAGAACTCCGTAATTTATCTGGATATACAGTGGGGCAAAAAAGTATTTAGTCAGCCACCGATTGTGCAAGTTCTCCCACTTAAAATAATGACAGAGGTCTGTAATTTTCATCATAGGTACACTTCAACTGTGAGAGACAGAATGTGAAAAAAAAAATCCAGGAATTCACATTATAGGACTTTTGCAGAATTTATTTGTAAATTATGGTGGAAAATAAGTATTTGGTCACTTCAAACAAGGAAGATCTCTGGCTCTCACAGACCTGTAACTTCTTCTTTAAGAAGCTCTTCTGTCCTCCACTTGTTACCTGTATTAATGGCACCTGTTTGAACTCCTTATCTGCTAAGGGGACAGGACGACTGATCCGTGTTAAGGAAAGAATGAATGGGGCCATGTATCGTGAGATTTTGAGCCAAAACCTCCTTCCATCAGTGAGAGCTTTGAAGATGAAACGTGGCTGGGTCTTCCAGCATGACAATGATCCCAAACACACCGCCCGGGCAACGAAGGAGTGGCTCCGTAAGAAGCATTTGAAAGTCCTGGAGTGGCCTAGCCAGTCTCCAGACCTCAACTCCATTGAAAATCTGTGGAGGGAGTTGAAAGTCTGTGTTGCTTGGCGACAGCCCCAAAACATCACTGCTCTCGAGAAGATCTGCATGGAGGAATGGGCCAAAATACCAGCTACTGTGTGTGCAAACCTGATAAAGACCTATAGTAATCGTTTAACCTCTGTTATTGCCAACAAAGGTTATATTACAAAGTATTGAGTTGAAGTTTTGTTATTGACCAAATACTTATTTTCCACCATAATTTACTAATAAATTCTTAAAAATCCTACAATGTGAATTCCTGGATTTTTTTTTCA